TAAATTATCTTCTTGTAGTCTGTTAGAACCACTCGAGATTCAGACTGTCTGCTTCCTGTGGTTAAATTAAATACTGATCAGTATATTTAGAAACTGGAATTTTTAAGGGTGAATATACTTCCTTTATACTTTGGAAGGTCAATTAATCAGCAGGCTTCAGCCATCAATTACTGTAGTAATTATCATCTCATGCTACAGCAAAGCATAAAAAGGACCAAAGGTATAACCCATTAACTGATTTAAATGGACTGACCTTGATTTGTTGAGCTGCTCTGCAGTGGGATCAGAACTAAAGAGAAATGACACTGAGGTAAGTTTCAGTTTGACATTCAACAGAACAGAGGAACAAACAGAAAACCACCAAACTGTGGAGAACACAGACGTTATGTGTTTGGTTGAGTTACACACTGATGAGTGAAGAAAGTAGGAAACTTCTATATACTACACAGAGTGCTGGCAATCTGTTAATATAACTGCAAAGAAAAGTAAAGAAAGTGAAAGCAAAGAAAGGAGCACTTTATAGAGTACAATTCATACCACGTGTCTGAATGTTTTTGAGGTATTTCTTTGTTTTGTAGTTTTATACTTCAGCTCCCGCACATTTTGGATTCAATCACTGTGTTCCTCAACATTTATAATAGATAAAGTTACACATCATTATATAAGTTGTTCTAACCATCTCAAGCTGCAACATTAAAACAAAACACACACAAATAAATGATATCCAATATCACTGATATAATTTGGAAGAATAAGTACTATTTCTTTAGGTATATTTATTTGTAAAGAAAATCTTTGATTTCCTGTTGACCCCTTTTCCTTGTCTCAATAATAATAACATGATCTAATACCTCTCCGATTCTACACGAAACTCACTGTTTAAATTGGAGTACCAACAGATTTTCATAGATCATTACAGTGCACTTACAGAGCAGCCACAGCAGACATCTGTTCTTCATCCTGCTCTCGGTGATAACAGATCAATAGTTTGACCAGCTCACAGTCACTTATAGTCAAACCCTCCTCCTTTTCCTCTGTGACAGGTTGCCAGTGTTGCGGTCATCAGTGAAATGGTTTCTCTGTCAGACTGCAAAAAAGAAAAAAAAATCACTAAATGTTAAACCAAGCATTGAAAGTGGCTGAAGTCAATCAGGAAACCACAGACAACAATAAACACATATAAATGAAAACATGTCAGTACCTGCCTCATGCCTTCATTGACAGTTCCCTGTGTTCTGTGTGGCAACCGTTTCTTATATAATATGAGAGAATCTCAAAAGTGATTATCTGTGTATTTGATTAACTTTGATCTTAATTATCTCCTGTGTTGGTCGTGTTGCAGATTTGTGGAAACAATGTGGTTCTTTCTGTAGCTGACTGCAGCTCATCTGAGAGACAGTGACCTGCAGTTGTTTTGATTGCTGCTTCTCTCTGCTTAAACCGTTGACTTGCTGTCAGAAACAGGTAAAACTTCTATTACTGAGACAAAGACCAACACTGTGATTGGTTCTGTTTATCCAAAGTCATCAGTGTGGGAGAGACACATTTATAAAGTCTTTTTTTAACCCCTGACTGTGAAGAAAACAGGAAAGGTTTTATGCACGTTGAGATGTCACTGTCTTTCTGACAACACTGCACCCTTAAATATTACATTGGGGCAGCAGCCTAAACAGAGAAGCCTAGACCTCCTTCTCCCCCGGCGTGTCCTGGCTCTGCCCCGGGGCCTCCTCGTGATGGGACGGTCTGAAACACCTCACCGAGGAAGCGTACCTTTCAGATCCCAGAAATACCTATTTTCAATGTGGACGAGCAGCGGCTCTACTCTGAGCTCCTCCTGGATGGTCAAACTCCTCATCCTATCTCTAAAGGAGAAGCCAGCTAAGCTTAGGAGAAAGCTTATTTCCACTGCTTGTATCTGCGACCTTGTTCTTTCAGTCACTACCTAAAGCTGTTCCACTCTGCCTGTCGGTCCCAGTTGCTGCCTCCGGAGATTGAAGGGAGCAATCTTCAGCCTGATTGCTCCCTTCACCTCTGATGTCCACCATTTGTTCGGGGGTTACCACCACAACAAGCACCAACCACCTTGCGGCCATAGCTGAGTACAGCAGCAGCAATGGAGGTGTGGAAAATGGTCCGTTTGAGTTTAGTATCCCCAGTCTCCCTCGGAATGCTGTTGAAGCTCTACTGAATGTGGGAGTTGAATATTTTGGAGATCAGGGCCTCTGTCAGATGTTCCCTGTGTACCCTGAGTATACGTTTGGGTACCTCAGGTCTGTCCAGCATCCTCCCCACCACATGATCCACGTGATCTGGTAACAGAACACCACTTGGGTTCAGATCTGGCAGAGCCTTCCTCCAGGTCTCGCTATCGTTTCCCACATAAGTGTTGAAATCTTTCAGTAGGACAACAGAGTCCACAGGTGGAGCACCTTTCAGCACACCGACTATATCTAGCCAGTACCTCTCAACCTCTTTGCCTAAACTCGGGCTCCTTCCAGAGAGGTGACATTCATTGTCCGAACAGCAAGTGTCAGTAGCCAGGGATCAGTCTGCCAGGGTCTCCCGCTTCTTGTCGCCGCCCAGCACGCATTGCACCTACCCCTATAGTGCCTCATATGGGTGGTGGGCCTAAAGGAGGGTGGGAACCATCCTTTAGGACCTTGTTTGTGCTGTGCCAGCCAGGCCCCATGAACTAGGGCCCTGCAGCACAATAAAGTAGCAATTAATGTTAATCAATTTGTTGTTAATGATGCAACATCATTATTTTTTAATTTCTGCTTTGATCTGCTTTGCCACAGACCTGAATAGCACTGCAGTTGTAGTGGATGTTTGTTGTGAGGCATGCTGCAGACACAGCTGAGAGCAAACACACCACAGATGGCTAAAGTTAAGCCACAGCCAACGTGTCAGTTACATAGAAAGGTGTCACATGTGAGTCTGCTGGCTGTGATGTACACGAGTCTATGGAAAACCAGACAGCAGACAGGAGCATGTGTGGGTTTCCTACCACAGTGTAAAGATATGCATGTCATTACTGGTGACATGTGTCAGGGCTGAAGCCACAACGTGAGGTGGTCCTAAAAGCAGACTTAAAACGGAGGCCCAGAATGAAGTGAACAAGAATTTAATTCACAGTGATGTTGTGACAATAATATTTACATGGAGTAAAAATGAAGTTACTGTAACATGAAGTATGAGGTCTCAGACAAAGTGAGTGTGATGTACTATGAACAGAAGCTATGAGATTACTGTGAACTTTGAACATAAACTGTGATAGACGCAGCTCAGCAAGGGGAACAGTGATGATGGAGTGGCACTGAAAGAGAGGGAGAGCTGAGTCCGAGTTGGTTTGGGAAAATGACAAGGCAGATCCACAGTTGAAGAATGAAACAGAGATGGCGAACCACTGATCATTCTGTGGAGAGATATGGAGCCAGAAGAGAGGAGGTCCTGTCGTGTATGTGAGTTGATTCTGGTCAATCAGGTGGGTTTGCCAGGTTTTAGTTCTTTTTGTTTACTTTGGTTTTGTGCTTATTTATGTGCGTGTTTCTATCTGAAAATGTGAAAAACTTAAAATGTCAAAAATCCGCTTTTCATAATATAAATATCATTATATAACTTATAAACACATTTAGAAAGACATGAATTTAATATAATAATTTTTTTTTTTTTAAATAATCTTAAAATGTTATTCTACAAAATGTCCAGCAATTTAATCTGTTTATTCTTTTAAGGTGATCCTCTGTGGGACCCAGGAAGACCGTATAACTGCATCTCTACCAACTTGAATTGCAGTTTCTCTGCACTCCAGCCTCTTCCGTTTCATGGGAAAGAATTTTCTCTAAGGCAGGAGAAATTATCTCCAAGAAAAGAAACAGCCTCAGCCATCGCACAGCAGAACAAATTCTCTTCTTAAAGAAAAATGAAAAAGTATTACCTTAAATGCGTCAAGTTTTTATTTTGCAAGTTCATAAGCATTCTCCCTTTCCAGTTCACAATCAATTCAACCCCTAGGTCAAAAATATGTATAAGAAAATTGGTCTAATATTATATTATAAACATACTTGTCCAGCTGTCCAGTGAATTATATGTATGTTACATGTATTTTTCATCAAGAAGTCACAAGTAAAAAAGAACCACACCATGGCGCATGTGCAAGGAAAATTTACTGAACAAAATTATTTATTAAAGAAATGGACAACGATTTTTTTCAAAGTTCAAAGCAACACAGCGGTGGCCCAATATCAATACAAGCTTCAATGCGTCAGAAAACCTCATTTGGCCATCACTGATAGAAAGCAGCTGGGAGGTTAGAGGGAGTGGTCTTTGATTTACAGAGCAGAGTGACGTCATCTCCCTCCATCACAGGGAGGACAGGACAGTGCCCTTCATGCCACTCTCGGTAATATCAAACCAACACTGACCAGTTCAAAGTCACTCAAACCCTCCTCCTCTTCTTCCGTGACATGATGTCGTTGTTGTGGTTATCATGAAAGCAATGGTTCGACTGAATTAACTGAGGAAGCAGAGAATAAATCCACATGAATGAAAACATGTCAGTACTTGTGCGATGCCTTTACTGACAGTATGATGCCTTTGAGATCAGACAGCAAACTTTTCTTTTTGAACCTGAATGACTACCAATGACTTTGTTTAATGTTTATCTTAGCGTGACTTGTGTTGATCGTGTTGCAGATTCGTGGAAACAGCTTGCATCTTCCTGTAGCTGAAAGCGGTTTGAGAGGAAGTGAGCTGAGACGTTGTGTGAATACTGCTTAATCGAGTGCACCTCTCTGCTTTAATAACTTCCCACTGAGGCTGAAAAACTTGCAACTGCATGTTGATCACTGATCACTGATCAATAATTTCCTGACACAGCCCACCCCCCGACAACACGAAACAACCGGAAACGAAACAAACAAAACAACAACAACTGTGAGTCACCAAAGAGTCAGAAAACTGCACGGGAATAGAAAAAAAAAAATTAATGACGCAACTCGAACAAAAGCATTTGTAAGACTCCGCTGCGCGCCATGAGGTGATCCCAGGAGGAGGCGTCTCAGCGGAAGGATAAATAGTTCCTATATCAGGTATTTTTTACTCTGGAGTTTCTTCGTATTGTATTCGTCTCCTTCTGTGTCCTCTTTTGATAACAAAATACACATTTAGCTCAAATCAGTGACGTTAAAAATTTAGTTTCGAGTAAGTTCAAGTTCAGAGCAGGAACTTACAAGTCTAAAGTTTCGGTATCAATACGCAGCCTGGTATTGATCCTCTGGCACGCTGTAAAACAGAAGCTGAAACATGGAGTTGTATTTGGAATAAACTTTGGAAACTTTGTTTGATGTTTATAGAGATGTCACCGAGGACATGTGTAACATCTTCCGCGCAGGATTTGTGCCGTGGATCATGCTCTCTGTGACTCTCGCCTCAGGCTCCGATGGTAAGTGACAGTTTGTTTTAATCTAATCTCATTTAAATGTTGTTCTGACGGAAACTTTTGCAGACATGTTCACGTTGTTTGTAGTGAAGCATTTTGTTTGGAGTTCACTTTGATTTTTCTGTGTGAAAACAAACCAAACCACCAGTTTAGAAACTGGGATTGGGACCAGAGTAAACGAGCTTTAGGTGTGGAAACGCCCTTACTCTACTGCTGTCGCAGTTACAAGAACGCAGAACACACATATGTGTTCAATCAGTCACATTCAACTGACTTTGTTCTGCAAACGAGTGATTTCCACTTTGGCGGTGGGACAGTCAGCTTTTATGTTTAAATGGTTTCAGAGCGCTGATGTGCTGCCGCCACCTTCACAGCAGCACTGAGAGCGCGCTCAGTGCTAAAATAATTAACTAATTAAAATCTTTGTTTTACCGCTTTGTGCGATAAATCACCACGTGAACGATTTTCTGCAGCATTCATATTTTCTTATTTGAAAGTGTTAGCGAAGGAGAAATGCGCAGGAATTCTGGTGTAAATATCGAGACTGCGCCGAGGATTATTACGGAGGAATAAACACACAACAGCCTTCCGCCATTTTTAGACTTAACATGCTCCAAGAAAGAGAGAGAGAGAGACTTTATTAACTGTATTGACAGCCACATGCACATCACATGCCAAACAATAATTTTATTGGCTGTTTCCATTTTCCTCTATATGCTCTCTACATCAGCTCAAACATTGTCTGTGTCTAGAAAATACTAAAGAAAGATGACCTTACAGTTTAGAGCATATTTTTATCTAACACCTCCACTTGCTCTCACTTTGTCATTCTCATTAAAAACACGAGGTTTCTCACCCAGTATCATATAAAACTTTTTTATGCATGGTATGAACATGAACCATTCATATTTAAACAACTTAACTTTTGTAGCAGGTTTTGTCATCACATCTTTTACCATCCCATCCATTGGACAGCTATCCAAAATAATTTTCCTTTCATTTACAGTTGACCTTATAAAGTGATAGTTTATGTCACTATGCTTGCATCTCTGTCTGGTTAAAGGATTCATTGCCAATGCTATCACACCCTGGTTGTCTTCATAAACCTTAGGTGGTGCATAGGTCCATCGATACCTTCGAACAGCTGTATGAGTACATACTCTCTTGTACAGTTGTAGCTAAGGCCATGTACTCAGCTTCACAGCTGGATAATGACACAGTGGTTTGCTTTTTAGTTTTCTATTACATTAAATGATCATTCACAGTCAGGCCTATACAGTAACCAGTTCTGCTGTGTCATTCTGTCTGTTACATCAGCCCCACAATCTGTATCACTATGTGCTCAGAACTCTGGTTTTATTGCAGCACTGATCAGACGGCCTCTCTGTACCTTTGGAAATCGTTCATCTTTTCTACACCATCAGTGTAGTTCAGTTTTTGCTCACAAGGTGTCGCTCTAGCTTTGTAACCTTGCATATGAAACCTTTCAAGGATTTTTTTTCCCCACATATTTTTATTTTTTCAGTGACATCCTCACATAGTTATCTCTCTGGTCAAAATCAATATCAATACAATGTTTCAGTTAACTCAAATCTTTCATTTAGAATTTTCCTGCCTACATTTCCTGCCTAGATTACGTTTTCATTCTTTGGTGTTCATGTGTAACCATAAAATTGAGGAGCACAAAGTTGTTCCCACTCATATGTTCATGTAACATCTTATTTCAGCTTCTGCCTGATTGTTTTAGCCCATACAGTTACTATTTCAACCTTTCATGTGTATCAGATTCAGCTACCTTTTAGCTCTCCGGTTGTTTCATGTATGTCTCACAATTTAGTGGTGTGCGTAGATAGGCAGTTTTAACATCCATCTGATGTAAAACCATGTTTAATTGTACTGCTCTTTGCATAGACACCATGATAGTGGTCAGATAAGCAGTGGGAGAGAAAGTTTCTTCAAAGTCTACACCCATCTTCTGACTTCAACTTTTTAGTCCTATTTTATATCTCAAAGTCATCTTTATCACATGGCATCATGTCAGTTTGTGTTTGTCTTCCCACAGTTGTTTTCATCACAGACATGACGAGTCTGTGGCTGAGCACTTTCCCACTGTTAGGACAAAAGACCCAGAAGGCTGAAATATTTTTGTCATTTCCAGCTAACATTCCCTTTGCACACCTTGAGTATAGTTTTCTCTTGTTCTGTTTATAAAAATAATATGCTGTTCCAAATGTTTGCATCTTGAAAAGTTTTGGCTTTCTTCTTGTCAGCATCAACTAAAGTGTCTGTTTTGTGAGTTTGTTAAAACATCTGTTCCTCACCACAGCTGCTGTTTGTACTGCATACAAACTCCTTAAGTAACTCTCTCTCTGTTAGCATACATCTGGCCACGTCAAAAAGTGTATGCCAGTTTTGCTTAGCAGTAGGGATGGGTATCGAAAACCGGTTCTTGTTCCCACTGTTTCATTTCCTTGGAATCGTTTGCCATTTTTGCAAACGATTCCCTTATCGATTCCAGTCGCCCCGAATGACGTCACCACATTGCGGAGTGTCATTTACCTGGCAGGAAACACGGTGCCTAAGCGGCTCAAACACTCAAAACTTTGGTTACACTTTATGAGAACGGATGACAACAGGGCAACTTGCAATACTTGCAAAGTAGATATTTCATTAAAGGGAGGGAACACTATGAATATGCAAAAGCATTTGCTCACAAAACACACGATGACCTTAAATGAATGTCGTGTTTTTCACGGACTCGTGAATCTCAACCCAGCAGCAGCGGTAACGTTTGCACGTCCTCTCCCGTTAATGCAGCAGGTAAATAATCAACTAACAGTGCATATTATGTTAGCGCGATCTGCCTTATTACAAAACCTGCTATTACTGTGCATTTAGATGACCATGATGAGAGAGACAGACAGAGTCTGGCTCAGATGCTGTTTTCCAAAGTTTTCCAAAAATCTTGTGAGTGCGGTAACTCAAGAACAAGGCAACATTGGATTTTTTAAAATGGATACCATTAGCTTTATCTCTGTTTTCTTTTTCTCTTACTTTAGCTATCTTGTATTTCTTCTTTCAGACAAGATAAACATCACAGCTGAGTCTGGACAGAACATCACTCTGCCATGTCGAGCTGACAACAATCAGAAGCCCATCATAGTTGTAGAGTGGATCAGATCTGATTTGGGGGCAGGTTATGCCTTGTTGTTCCAGGATGGGCACTTTGTTCCAGATCATCAGCATCCGTTTTTTAAGAATCGGGTGGATCTTCAGGACAGGCAGAAGAAGGATGGAGATGTATCTTTGATTCTGAACAACGTGACACCTGCTGATAGTGGAACATATGAATGCCATGTCGTCACGCGAGGAGCAAACCAGAGGGAGAGAGCAACAGAGCACACCTGTACAATCGAGCTTAAGATTCTTCCTCGTGGTGAGTTATTACAATTGTTTTTGATCAAAAAACAAGCTGCTTCCTAGTTGCTGATGTTTTCTATGACGTTTTTAACCTCTCTGCTCTGTGGTGTTTCCTGTCCTTCAGTCCAGATAAACACGACAGCTGGACAGACAGCCATTCTGCCATGTCAAGTTCCAAACCTCAACAGTGATCCCAGCGTGGTTATAGAGTGGAGCAGAACCGATCTGGGGAAAGAAAATGTCTTTTTTTACCAGGACCAGAAGTTTATTCCAGATGACCAGCATTCATCTTTTAAGAACCGAGTGGATCTGCAGGACAGACAGATGAAGCATGGAGATGTGTCTTTGATTCTGAACAATGTGACAATTAATGACACTGGAACATACATGTGTTGCGTCTTCATGAAGGGAGCAAAACACAGAAGGAGAGCTAAACTGGATAGTGACCTCATCAGTGTTGTCAACCTTCATGTTGTTCGTCCAGGTGAGTGAGTAGAGTTGAGTGTAAGTGTGATCAGAGGTGAAGCTGCTTCCTGGTTGTTGATGTTTGTTTGTCTGTGAAGGTTTTCAGTCATCCAAATTATCATAATCTAAGGAGCTTGGAAAGAAAAGCATTTGGACTTCTTTACGTTGCTTAAAGATGTCTCACCTCTCATCCAAGAAGCTTCTTCAGTTCTAGGTTCAAATGGCGGAGAGTCCCAGACTTAAGCCCGATGGGAGAACATCCCAGTGTACCTCAGACCCAGCAACACACCCAGAAGAAAACTGGTTCTTCCCAAAGACAGAACTCCTAATCACAAACGTAAATCCTAGTGTATACTGTACAATGTAACGAGGAATGCTCAGACCTCTAAATTGGAGAAACCAAACAGCCACTTCATAAACGCATGGCACAATGTAACGCAGTAAAGGATCAGCCTGACTGCAGCTTGATAATAAGCTAGTCAGAAGTGCTTCGACTACGGAGCCTGAGTGTGCGGATAAAATACAAACAACAGAAGTAGAGCTCAAATATACATGTATTATGTATCTTATGGTGAGATGAAATTTATAGACAGATAAACAAAAGAAAAAAATATATACATTGTAAATATCAACACTTCACCGAGTTCTTTTGATTCCTCAGAGGCATCCGATGGAAGACAAAACACAGTAGAACATTCAAAACTTTATTACTTCTAGAAGGGAGATGCGTCCTGCATGACACGTTGCCGCAGATCTCAAATTGGTGGTGTGCCCCTAACAGTTTTATTACAGAAGCTCTCTCACTCTAGTCTAAACAACAGTGTCTCAGTAACTTTCCACTAGAGACAGTCCCCTCTTGTCTAATTTTCCCAGGCAAGCGTGAGCAAGAGCCTGCAGCTTTCTACTCCCCAAGGACACATGGTCTAATGCCTTTATTTTTCAGGGCTGTGTCAACTTAATACTACACTATATAACTTCATAACACTTAAAACATAAAATTATTTATTCCCAACAGCATATATATTATAAAAAACACAATGATAGTGATAATAATAACACTAATAATAACACTAATAATAATAATAATAATAATAATAATAATAATAATAATACAAAACAACTAATTTAGTCCCAAGAGGAAGTTGGACAAGGTTTAGTCAGTTCAGTTTAGTTGACCTGCAATAAGCCGTGTTTCCAAACAGGTAGGAAGTTGAAGTCCATTTATCAGTTCATATAGATTTATCAGTCCTACCGCAATACAGCGGTGGTCAGGTGGCTCGCCATCCTGCACTGATCAGGGTTTGATAACGGGGAAAAAACTCTGACTTAATCAAGGTTAAAAACATAAATTAGCATTCACAGTTAAATTGGAACAGCGTTCTACTGCCATTACAATTGAAAAATAAATCCATAAATAGAAAAGTCAAATAATTAATGTCATATTTTATATAACAGCCAATAAACCAATAACCAAAGTCATAACATTTGATTCTTATAATGAATTTCATTCAAAAATAATGTTATAGAAAACCATTTGCATGGGTCCCATCAAAGTAAAGTAATTTAGCAAGAGTAATAAACATTATCCAAGGTTAATCAAATATTTCCAACACACATTTAATTATATGTGTTGTGCAACACGTTCAATAATCTAAAAGGAATTCAAATCAATTCAGAAGTCCCAAAAGAAGGCCCAGAAGGCCGTTTTGGCATTCACTTAGAAAAGTAACAAAAAATCAGATCTCTCACTCAACTCTTCAAACAGTGATTTAACATTCAGCCATAGTGAAAAACTGTCTGTCACCAACTGTCTGCCATCTATAATTCAGTTTTGAGATCCTTTCCCAGACACCTTAACACCTACGCACATCCTGGGCCTTTTGACCTCTCATAATAGGACTAGGGTCTTATGGAGCTAGATTTCACAATGAACTCACCTGAAACCTTGGCTGATTGTGACCTACACCTGTTTTTACACCTTAGCTATTGTGATTAGGTAGAGGATCATTAGGGGATCCATGTCCCTTTTGGGGGGACACTCTTCTCGGTTGAGAGGTGAAATGTCTTCAAGCAACTTAAAGAAGTTCAGACGCTCCTTAGACTTGATGTTTGTTTCTAAAGATGTTGTTGATGAGACTTTGTAGAAAGCAGCTGGTCTGAGTGATGTGATCAGAGTGCAGTAGATAATGTCTGACAGCAGTTTGAAGAGGAAATGGATTCTGTTCTGTTCTTCACTCATCACCTACCTGACAGCTGACACCTCACACCTGTTTCTCACCTGCAGGTCAGACAGGAGGAGACACAGAGGATGGAGTCATTAGATATAAAGTGATATATTTTGTTTTGTTTCTTGTACCAGCTCTTGTGGCTGTTATTTTGATCTGTAAAAAAAAGAACAAAAATAATCCCCCACTTCCTACTCCTCTGACTGATGAAGTAGGAAATGAAGTTTACTGAACAATCTCTGCGTTGATATTAGGGCTGCCACGATTATGTCGACTATCAAAATCATCGACAACTAATTAAATAGTCGACGCGTCGTTTGAAGCTTCGTAAGATCCCAAAAGACGCAGGAATAGCAGGATTTAAGAGGGTAATAACGGACTGAAACAGAAGATGGCAGCACTGCATGTACAAGGATGCCAGCTGCCGTTAAACCCCGAAGAAGAAGAAACTGTGTCCCAGAATTCATAGCGCGGCCCTGCTCCTTTTCCAAAAATGGCAGCAGCTAGTTAGTTTTAATATTACTCTTATTATTCTTTCTGGGTCACAAAATAAATGTTTAACATATTTTCAGGCGAGAATGTAGCTGTGTAAACCTCAAATATCTGCTCAGTTTATCAAGACACCACATATTTTCAAAAGCGCTCCAACGTTTTCGGAGACGTCTGTTACCCACTAGCTCGATAGCTGGTGTTCGGGGTTCAAGGCTCACCAGGGCCGGTGAGAACACCGGACTCCCGACAAATTATTTTCGAACCTACCGCGGTCTTTCGCTACTCAGGTTAATTTGTAATTAATCTTTACTATATTATTAGACCTTTATTTATTCATATAAAAATCTCATTATGATTCAAATCACGTTTCCTAGAGAGACCTAGCAACATGACAACAAAAGTAAAAACACATACAGCATATAATAACATAACAATATCTATATCAAATTGATATTACTAGAATTTTTAAATTGTGTTATGTAAAATCAAAAGTATCTCTAAAACATCAAACATCGATCAAACTCTGATTTGATGTACAAGGATCTTTGATATATCAAATCTTGTAGGGCAGCACGGTGGCACGGTGGTTAGCACTGTTGCCGCACAGCAAGAAAGTCCTGAGTTCAATTCCACCATCAGACCGGGGTCTTTCTGTGTGGAGTTTGCGTGGGTTCCCTCCGGGTACTCCGGCTTCCTCCCAAAGACATGCAGCTTGTGGGGATAGGTTAATTGGATAATCCAAATTGCCACTAGGTGTGAATGGGAGTGTGAATGGTTTTCTGTCCCTGTGTGTTAGCACTGCGACAGAGCCTGTCCAGGGTGTACCCTGCTTCTCGCCCTATGACAGCTGGGATAGGCTCCAGCACCCCCCGCGACCCTGAAAAGCATAAGCGGAAGCGAATGGATGGATGGAGATCACTTGTCATCGATCAAACTGATTCGATGTACAAGGATCTTTGATATATCAAATCTTGTGATTTGACATCAATAGATCACTTGTCATCAATCAAACTCTGATTCGATATCCAAGTATCTTTGATATATCAAATCTTGTGATTTGACATCAATAGATCACTTGACATCGATCAAACTGATTCGATGTACAAGGATTTTTGATATATCAAATCTTGTGATTTGACATCAATAGATCACTTGACATCGATCAAACTCTGATTCGAGTACGAGGCAGCAGAGAGGACCTTGTATGGGTTTACTACCACATTCTAAAGGTACGCATGTGATGTCAACTGGTGAAATACAAATTTGACACACCAACATCAGGATCAGCGCTTTCCCTCAGACTGACATGTAGAGAATGTGAGCTGACAGAACAAATAAAATTTATGTACGAAGTTTACACAAACAACCAGGTATTATAGTATATATATTTATATATATTATAGTGGCACACGTAATTCAATTACAGTGATCTGAGAGCCACCATCTAACTGATGGAGCACAGGCTCAGAACTGATGTTCAGTGGTTACCTGCGTAATGTCATCATAGTCCTCAGACAATCTCTCTGTTGACAAAATAATAATAATGTAAGATACTCATAGTGTTATCTTTGGCTCTGCGTCAATATAAAGAAAACTGTTAATATGTCAGTTAGCAGTCTAACAAAGCTCTGCCTGCAGTGCACAAGTTAGTCCAAAAACTGTTTAGCAAGAGATGTGTTACAGGGGTACCTAGCACGACGCACACACAGTGGTTTAGCTGTGATGCTTGTGGCCTTATTAATGCAGCTTATTTCAAGCTGCCGTAAACACTGTTGTACACACTGCTTCCTTACCTAGCTTGCTCGTCCTGCACTAAGCTCTCCCCTCTTCCTTTCTAGGTCCTGGCATTCTACTGAAGTAGGGAAGGCGTCATTAGATGATGACTCCTAGTGATGGTAAGATGAAGCCTCGTGAGGAACTGAAGGTTTCCATCCAACTGGTCGACTCATGGTTCAACGCATTGTGATGATTCATTTGCTCTACTGCGCCATCAAGTGGACGATTCAAGTGAAAAAGGCTCTTTGATTGTAATGATGGGATGTGTAAACCTCTAAACTGAATAAATAAATTGTTTTCATGGTTATTTATTACGAATATTGTCTCAGCATGTCTGATACAAAAGAGAAAGTGGAAACTATCAGGACAGAGCTTTGGTATGATTGTGTAACTGTGTAATCATGCTTATGTACATCTGGATAATCACACAAACTGTGTGGCGCTTCACTTTTTAATAAACCAGTGATTCTTGAGATAAGGGACAAAACATGTCCAGCAGATAAAACCCAATTTTGTGGTTAAAAATATGCATACAAGTGTTAACCCAACTGCCTAAAAGACAAACCAAGGCAATGTTTATACAACAAAACTACGATTTTGCATTTTTTATAAATATATATTTATTTTAAATGGTACAATACATTACCAGTACCTTAAAAATCCATTGTCCTGAAGCAGGTGTGATAATATTAAAATACAGAAAAAAATTAAAAGTAATGTAGTCAATATTTAAGTCAATACCTTATATAATATCAAAATATGCAATTGAAAATTTATTTTGACATATTTTTTAAGTGATTAAAATCGTGCGTCAAGTCGATGTAATCCAAGATTTGATTATTTTTTCTTGTAAAAACAGCCTCATTTAGGTAGATTGTTGAGGCCATAAGCAAATGATGAAAAACAAGATGGCTTCTGTCAGAAAAACATGTGTTATGAGAGAAAGTATGGTATTTTGTCAACACCATCAGATGTCTGATACAAAAGAAAGTGGAAACTATCAGGACAACGTTTTGGCATGCTTATTTACATCTGGATAATGACACAAACTATAGTGTGTGGTGCTTCAGTTTTTAATAAACTAAAAGACAGAAATCAGATTATAGGATCTGTGGTGTTTATTTATATTATGGTTCTTATCATTTGTGATATTTATTACTCTGTGCATACTTTATTAGGAGAGATGAGATATTAAAAAAAAGCTCTTCCTTGCTGGTTACATTGAAGAAGAAGCTCAACTATGTAGCACGTACGTAATCAACTTCAACAACACAATGTGATGGGGAAATCAGCTGTGTTTTTCTGCCCATTTGATTTCGAATCTGGCACACACCAGAAAACCAGTTCCTGAATCAGTCACGTGATACGGACTGCCCGCGAGGCCTCGAGCGTCACTGCATACGTAATCAAAGTGTGCCTCGATACGTGCTTCACAAAAACAACCTGAGATTACCCGACACACGCTTTGGAGCTTCGACACACACGACACATCGTTAGGTTTCAGTGATCAATTACTGTAATAATTATCATGTCATGCATGATAATTATTACAGCAAAGCCTAAAAAGCATCAAATGTCTGAACTCATGTCAGGTTTAAATTGACTGACCCTGATTTGTTGCACTGCTTAGTGACATCACAACTTAATTGAAATGCCACTGAGGTTAGTTTGAGTTTGACATTCAACAAAACAGCAGAGAAAACAGAAAACCACCAGACTGTGGAGAACACAGACGTTATGGGTTTGGTTGAGTTACAGACTGATGAGTGGAGAAAGTAGGAAACAGCTTATTCTTCTATATCTTACACAGAGTGCTGTAAATCTGTTAATACCACCAGTGACACAAATTTAAGTTGTACATGTACTTGAGTACTTATAGAGTATAATTCATACTGTATGTTTGAATCGTATTGATGTATTTTTTTTTTTTTGGTAGTTTTCTATTTCTGCTCTACTGTATTTTGAATTCAAACATTGTACTCCCTGACATTTATTTAATTACTATGTAATGCTACATTATTATAGATAAAGTGACTCAGCAGTATATAAGTTGTACCAACCATCTAAACATTAAAATAAAACTGACATAAATCAATAATTATGATCCTGTATCATCTATATGATTTTGGAGAGTAAGTTCTGTTAGTATTTCTTTAGGTATATTACTTTTGTATGATTACTATATTCTCTGCACTTATAATTCTGGATGCGCTTACTGACCTCAAACCGATTTTACGTGGTACACGGTGCTCAAAACCTATCAAAACATGTTTTAGTATGACTTTGGTAAGCTACGAAGATGGATTGCGGGAGCATTACGGTTACCGCAGTCAGGAGGCTCGCAGAGTAAACTGGGTCTAAAACTCAGTCTGCTTCAGGTCCCAAAGTCAAACAAACACTGCAACATCACTGAGAGTTAAAAACCATCTCAACTGGATGAATGCTAACTCTTGAGGGTTTCTGGTGGTTAGAGACAAATGCAATCGCATGGCAGGATGCTGTAAATGGACCAAACTTCAGTCAGGAGAACAACTGAGATCCACAATACCAGGTTAGTCATTAATATACTGCAACAACATGGGAATAAAGCAGCTGTGAGAGAATTCAACATGAATGAATCAATGGTACAGAAGTGGAGGAGGCAAGAAGAATGAGTTGAGTAAACTTTGACTTATCTGACTGTTTTGTTTTGCTTAATGTGCCTTATGGTTTGAAAAATATGGTATTCAAGCAGAATTCTGACTTTACCAGTCATAAAACATCACCTTGTAAAACGGTTATTTCACGCTGTTTAAACTTCTGTATAGTTCCTGTATAGCAATGTAAAATTCAGTATTTAATTAGTTGTGATTTCCTGTTGACCCTTTGTCTCGCTCTCCTCTATCAAAACTGATCTAATACACCTCTGATCCAATGTTCCCTCTAATTTTTCATGTGTCTGAGCAAACACACAAACTCCCAGCCGCGGAGGTGTGCACGTGGATAGCGAATGAGCAACAGCTTCTGACTTTCCAAAAGTACTCATTTATTTAGAATATCAAAAATAAAAGTGCTACCTCTACCACACATTACTCGAGAACACACTAGTCCGCGTACACACGGGAGCATCCATTACAGGGAGAGTGAGAAGAAGAACAAAAAGGGGTTGACACACCAGTCATGAGACGGGAGGCGCCGCCATGTGGTGATACACTGCATTACAACAGCAACTGTTACAAAATGTGAATCGCGTCATTGGCTGGACTATGGGATAAGATGGCATCGTTCTAATCCCATATGGGAGTAGCCATTCACTTACTGACTAACACTGCAAAACAGAATTGTTAAAGTTTTAATTTTAATTTCAACTCAGGTTAGATTTTTTTCTGTGCGCAACGTAGATTTTTTGTGCGCATAGACGTGCGATTGTGCACCCGCGCAGTTTAGAGGGAACATTGCTCTGATCCCACACCAAACTGGAAGTTTGTGATAAAGAAACAATAGATTTTTTATAGATAATCATTGCATGTGTTCTTTATCCAACTCTCAGTGATATCAGATTAACACTTTGACCAGTTCAAACTTGAACCCTCCTCCTCTTCCTCTGTGACAGGATGCCAGTGTTGTGGTTTGTAGTAAAAGCAAAGTTTTCCCTGTCAGTCTGCAACAAACATGAGAAAAACCCATTTAAATAGTTAAGCTGGCTGATAACTGTCTATTAAGATGGACAGAAACAAATTGGTACCTCTATGATGGTCTGAGACAAAGCAAAAATTGTGGGCAAGTGGCTGAAATCAGTCAGGAAACTGCACAAATGAATACATGAAAACATCTCAGTGTCTGTCAGACGCATTGACAGTTCTCCATGTCCAAGATTTGACCTTGGACCTTGGACCTCTTTTCTTACTTAAAATGAGAGAATCTCAATATTAATTATCAATGGGTTTCATTAATTTTTTCATTGCCATCTTGTGTTGATCGTGTTGCAGATTTGTGGAAACAACTTGCATGTTTCTGTACCTGACTGTGGTTCAGCGGACAGGAAGTGAGCTGGAGGTGGTCTGATTTCTGATGAGTGACTGCATCAGTAATCAAACTGCTTTAACCACTGACTTGCTGTCAGAAACAGATCAAACTTCTCCTACTGAGACAAAGATCAACACTGTGATTGGTTCTATTCATCAGTGTGGGAGACACATTTCTGAAGTTATTCATACAGGTTGACCTGTCACGGTCTTCCTGACAACCCTACACATACAAAAAAAAAATTGTGCGCCACGCAAAAAGTCACTGCTGAGACAATCTGAGTGCAGTGAATTCATTTTCTTGTTCAAGGAAGGGTACAAAGTGGCCCACACCTCTGCACCATGACTATCATCAGCCTGAACTGCTAATAAAAGGAAGGATGGATCCATTCTTTCATGATGTTGTTGTAGCCCTTCTGATTCAAGGTGTAAACATTGTCCTTTCATACTTTGATTATGACAATAAGTTATCGATGGTGGCCCTGAGACATCAAACGGACTGCAACTTAAAAAACAAAAAACAAAAAGACACAAGCAATAAGTCAAATGCTGCAAAAGCACACACATCACAATGGTAATAGGAAAAACGAAAACAAATAGAAAAAATGGAAATAGGAAAAAACAGATTTCTGAAAGCACAAGTGAAGTGTTTCTGGGGAGACAATAACCCAACGAACCAGTTGCAGGAACTAAAATATGCTAGGTAAGTGTGTTTTAATCTCATGATTCATATAATACCGATGATGGATTTTTAGGCTAATAGTTAGGCTAACATTCAGATTCAGATAAACCCTCTCCGTGAATCGTTACCTTATCGTGGTGGAGGGGTCCCAGGGATCCCAGGGGCTATGTTGTCTGGGGGCTTTTGCCCCCTGGTAGAGTCTCCCGTGGCAAATTGGTCCTGGGTGAAGGACCAGACAAAGAGCGATTCAGAAGACCCTTATGAAGAAAACATCGAGGGAACAATTTACCCTGCCCGGGATAGGGTTACCAGGGCCCTGCCCTGGAGCCAGGCCCGGGGAGGGTGCCCGAGGGCGAGCGTCTGGTGGCCGGGCCTTAGTCCATGGGGCCCGCCGGGCACAGCCCGAAGAGGAGACATGGGCCCATCCTCCCGCAGGCCCACCACCCGCAGGAGGCGCCATAGGGGTCGGGTGCATTGTGTGCCGGGTGGCGGCCAGGAGCGGAGGCCCTGGCAGACTGATCCCCGTCTGCCAAGGCTGGCAATAGGGACATGGAATGTCACCTCTCTGGTGGGGAAGGAGCCTGAGTTAGTGAGGTTGAGAGGTACCGGCTAGATATAGTCGCGCTCACCTC